CAAATGCTGAATGTTTTCTCTGATTTAACGATGCTGATTCATAATGTGGTGGTGGGAGGGGGCATAGGAGGATTAGATGAAAGGGGAGGGAGGGGAGCATGGGGGATAGAAAAGACAGTGGAATGAGATAAACATCATTACCCTAAGTACATGTATGAAGACACAAATGGTGTGACTCTATTTTATGTACAACCAGAGATATAAAAAATTGTGCTCTATATATGTAATATGAATTGTAAAGCATTCTATCATATATAACAAAATTTTAAAAAGAAAAAGAAAAAACAGCCTCACTGTCCATTCTGTTTTCCAACTTTAAAAATTAACTTTTAGCAGATACATTAAAAACATAAAAATTAGACATATTACCAAGGTAATATGTAATGTTTCAATGTGTGTATACATTGTATGTTTAAATCAGATTAAACATATCTCCTAAAACATGTATTAAGTTTAATGGAAAAAACTTTCAAAATCTTGGCAGCTTTTTGAAATGCATATTAACTATAGTCTACTATAATAGAACACCAAAATCTCCTGTTCCAAACTGAAACTTAAATCCACTGATGATCCCTTCCCCATTCCTCCCTACTTTCTAATTTCCCTGCCTCTGGTAACTGCTATTATATTCTCGACTTCTATGAGATCAACATTTTTAGATTTCATATATGAGTGAGATCATACAGTACTTATCAAGTACCTGGCTTACTTCAATTTATATAGTAATCTATAATTCTATCCATGTTGTCACAAATGATAGCATTTCATTCTTTTTGTGGCTAAATAATAATCCATTGAGCATAGACACCACACTTCCTTCATTTGTCAGTTAATGGATACTAAGGTTGTCTCCATTTCTTGGATATGTTGAAAAATGCTCTAATGAAAACGGGAATGTGCCAGGTACAGTGGTGCAGGCCTATAACCTCAGCAGCTCAGGAGAATGGGGAAGAAGTTCAAAGTCATCCTCAGCATCTTAGTGAGGACCTAAGCAATTCAGTGAGACTCTTGTCTCTAAATAAAATTTTATATAAAAAAGAACTAGGGATGTGGTTCAGTAGTTAAGTGCCCCTGGATTCAATCTTAAGAACAGAGAGAGAAAGAGAGAGAGACAGAGAGAGAGAGAGAGAAAGGGAATGTGGACATCTCTTTAACATACTAACTTTACTTATTCTGGATACATACCCAGTGGTGGGATTGCTAGTAGTTCTATTTTTAACTTTTTGAGTAATCTCCATATTGTTTGGCTATAGAAATTTATACTCCCACCTACATCCTTGCCATCACTTGTTATCTTGGTCTTATTGATAACAGCCTTGATTTGTATATCTGTGCTGATTAGTGATACTGAGCATTTTTTTTCAAATAGCTGACTATCTATTATGACTTCTTTTGAAAAATGTCTATTTTTTAAATCAGATTATTGGTATCTTCTCTATATTAACACTCTTTTCTATATATATTGACACTTTTTGTTCTAATATCACTACCTTATTCTAAACATTCTCGGATCTTCTCTTAACCTGAGGCAATAAAATAAAGAAAACATCGACTTCATTACATAGCACTAATGATGTAGACTTCATGAATATCAATTAATGCATGTATCTGGTACAGTAGACATTACTAGTGCTCACCTAGTGTTTCTAATTCTACTGTCATTCTGGACACATAATAAGATCATATTTTCTTGCCCCTCTTGATGGAACACAAGACCAAAGACTATACCATTGCTCCGGCCAATGAAATACAAAGAAAAGTAATACACCACTTCCACAGGGAAGCACTTAAAATTGGAATCTAATTCTTCATACTATCTTGCCCTACTTTATCAAAGAAGTACAACTTGATAAGAAATTGCCACAAGATTGAAGTAGCTCCAGGAGGTTGTGCTAACACATGAAAAGCTGTTCAGAGTTTTGGCTAGCTATATCACAAAAAACAGCATGAAAAGATCATACTCTCGGTGCTGGGGATGTGGCTCAAGCGGTAGCACGCTCGCCTGGCATGCGTACGGCCCGGGTTCGATCCTTAGCACCACATACAAGAAAGGATGTTGTGTCCACCGAAAACTAAAAAAATAAATATTAAAAAATTAAAAAAAAAAAAAAGATCATACTCTCATTCTATTATTCCACCACTGTCATTTTATATTATTATTCCACATTGTGGTACTAATTTTAGTATCACAATATAAACTCACCTATTCTGATTCTAATTTCCTCAACTTGTATAATAAAAACTTGTTTTTGAGGAGAATTTCTAGGAGTGGGGATAGTAGAAGGCCATAAATGAAACATTCTACAAAGTTATCTACAAACAACTGTGCAGTTCAAACCCTGATTCTTTTTGTACTTATATTATTATTTTGACTTTTTTCACATATTTCTATCTCATCTTTGGTCTTTGATATCTCCTTACGTCATATGCCTTTCTGAAAGAAATTTAAATTTTGTAATTTTAATATTTTTCAACTACATTGGTGCTACTGAAGAATTTCATATCACTTTGTCCTTACATCCACAAAAGCATAAAGGATATTACAAAATGATCATATTTCTCTAATAACCAGCACATAGCAAAAATACATTTCTCATTTTAAAAAAAATCTGACATTTGCCTATAATAAAGCTAACTACTACTAAGTCCTTACCAGTGTGACTTTGGGCAAATTATAGAACTTTGGAACCTCAGCACTAAAAATGTAAAAAGTAACAATAATTGAAACTCAGAAGATGGACAATAATTTAGACTGCTCAAGTAGTCATACATAAAGGATTATTCAGGAGCTATTAAAAATGTATAAAAATCCATTAAGTGGGAAGGTTAGCTTGTGAACACTCAATGTAGACAAGAGCAGAGGTGAGTGGTAAGATTTAAAAGTTTCACAATGCCAAGACTGTGTAACTTTGAAGAAAATGCCCAGGTACAATGATCACTTAGAAAGATATGATAAGAAAGGCAGACAAACAACTGGATGGGTGGGTTATGCTAAATGAACCCAAAGCACCCAAGCTGAGAATCTTGCCTTTTCTTGATAAAATCTGAATTCTATAATCTTTATTACTGTTCTTACTTAGAAATTATTTTAACGCCACTTTTCCCTATCCTATCATGCTCTACTACTAGTGATATAAAACCCATTGCAGCGGAAATAATTACATTACATATCCATATCAAAACCACAAATATTAAGAAAAGTTGCACATCAACAATAATTATATAAATATCTAAATCACAATAAAATATTACTTGTTTGTGTACAGGCAAATAGGTATAAAACCATAAACTGGATGGATATATAATACAATTTCAGAATACAGGTGTTTCTAAAGAGGAAAGTAATGAGAAATCAACTTTATCTATAATGTTGTCTTTATTACAAAGTAACACTGAAGCAAAAATGACAAAAATAATAATATTCCATACATTAAGTTAATGGATCCTTGTCCTATACTTATTGTGAAATACCTTTAAAATTAGAAGAAAAACTAACATTGCAAAAGGGCAGTGAATTGGACATGTTCATCATAAAACAAAATTTTGGGGGGTGATGAAGGGTACTGGGAATTGAACTCAGGGGCACTCAATCAACAGAGCCACATCCCCAGCCCTATTTTGTATTTGATTTAGAGACAGGGTCTCACTGAATTGTTTAGCACTTCACCATTGCTGAGGCTGGCTGTGAACTTGTGATCCTCCTACCTTACCCTCCAAGCTGCTGGGATTACAGCTGTATGCTACTGCACCCAGCACAAAACAAATTTATAGTATTTAAAATTTTTCACAATAGGCCACAAAAATGATTTGACCTTTCCATTCATCTTCTAAGCCAAATATGATTATCACTGTTCTTCAGTAAAACTACCTGAAATAATAATAGGGAGACTAGTTCTACTGTCCATTCCACAATTATATATTTATAAAATAACACAAGCATTTAGGAAAGTTTAAAGTGGGTAGTAAATTATAATTTAAGGCTTTCTCCTTAATCTTATTTATTTTGTTGTTGTTGTTGTGTTGTTGTTGTTGTTAAGATGCTGGATGTCATTAGCTATCCAACAGTAGACAAATCATTTAACTTTCATTCTGAATGTAACCATATTTAAAATGAGATTATTATCTTCCCTACATCACAAGACTATTATAGGCTAAATGAGAATGTGTATAGCAAAGCTACTTAATAAATTACTGCCGCAGTCTGGCTGGGGCTCTCAACAAATTACAAAGTGCCACCCAGATACAAATTATTATTTATTTTTTAAAAATACATAGTATTACAATTTGGATCTGAAATGTTCTCCAAAAGCTCGTGTGCTCAAAGCTTGGTTCCCCAATGCAGCAGTGTTCACAGGTGGGGCCTGTGGACATGAATAGATCAAAAAGACTCTAACCTCATCAATAAATTAATACATTGATGAATTCACAGTTTTTTAATAGGCTATTGGGAGGTGGCAGAAACTTTAGGAGATGAGGACTAGCTGAATAAAGTAGGTTACTGGGAGCATGCTCTTGGAGGGTTATAGTTTGTCCCCACCCCTTCTTCTGACTGCTTCCTGGCCACCATGAGCTAAGCAGCTTTGCTCCACTGCATACTCCCTACCATGATGCTCTGCCTCTATAAAGACCTAAAAGCAATGGAGTCAACCAAACATAAACTGAAACCTCTCAAACCATGAGCTAAAATAAATCTTTCCTCCTTTAAGTTGATTTTCTCAGGTATTTTATCACAGTGAAATAAAGCTGACTAACACAGGTATACACAAACCTACAAATATATACAAGCACATAAACACACATATATACAGTGTTATTATCCAGCAGGTCACTAAAGCAATAATAAAATCCTAAATTATAGAAGTATCTAAACCTCTATTTTCTTAAATTCTACAGTAAAAATTGATTGAAAACATTTTCATTTTAGGTATTATTTTAAGTATTTAACATTGAAAATAAAATTCTATGAAGCAACAGCTTGAAATTTAACTGAGAATACTTACCTTAACAAAATTATCAGGAAACATTCCCCTTCTCCCATTTAGTTCTCCTTCTAGCCATCCTTCCTCCTGTAGTTTTTTCACATTTCTGATGATTTCCCCAACTCGAATAGTTAATTCATCATCATGCACAGCATCATAATCATACTCCACAATATAGTCAACTAAAAAAGGGGAGGGAAAAAAAGAAATGTCTAAAATCTAATTCACAAAATACTATAAATATTAACAAATCTGATTACCAACATTAGTTAACACAACATAAACATCATCATGACCTGTCTTAATGACTTCAATATCTGACTATATCAATAAATTTATTATCTTAGTACAGAACACAGTACAGCTTTTAAGTGAGAGCCTCAAAAGAAATAAAACATGTAACTCATTCCATTACGTTCTTAAAATCACATGTACACTCTTTGTGGCAGAGAGACTCTACAGTGGTCCCCTGGTTACCACCCCCATCCCATATTCACATCATTTTGTAATTCCTTCTCCTTGAGTGGGAATGTGACCTATGACTGACTTCTATCCAATAGAATATGACAAAAATGATGGATTACATGTGATTAAGAAAAATTGTAATGCCCATCTTGCTAGGAGTCTCGTTTCCCTTATAGCTTTGAAAATATACACTGCTACAGTTTGTACACTGGCCTATGGAGAAGGCCACAAGCAAGTAATGAGGGGAGGCCTCTGGCTGAGTCCCTCAGTCCAACAATGAACAGTAACTGAGGAAGTCAGCAATCACATGAACTTAGAAACAGATCTTTCCCCACTAGAGCCCCAGATGAGAAGCCAACCCTAATCAATACCTTCAATGCAGATTTATAAAAGGTCCAACTAACCAAGCCCATACTAAAAAACCACAGAAACAATAAATATATATTGTTCTGAACTATTAAATTTGTATTGATACCATTATAGAAAAAAAGAAAATGAAAATACCCTAAAACAAAGATTAATATTATAACACATCATATACATATATCATTAATATTTTATACGGCTCAATGTTTTTTAAAAAGGGAATAATAGATTTTCTATTCCAGATGGCAGATTAGCCATACTCCATTAATATTTTTTCCTACAAAAATAATAAGAAAATAATAAAATATATTTATACAGCTATAACCAAAACACTAAGGAAAGGAAGTATAAAAACACATTACTTGTCAAACCAACCATCATTCCTGTACTGTCTGTCCCTTTCCTTTTGTTCTCACAGAAACTAAACTAGGTTTATATTCTGAAACAGTACTTTTATAAGTCAAGCTTCTCTAAGCCACAGGAAGTTAAATCTTAACTAGCCTAAGCCAGCATTTCTCTGAAGTACAATCATGTCATCTGGAGAACCATGTTTAAATGTAGATTTTGATTAAGTAAGGGCAAGGATATCTAATGCTGCTGTTCAAAGAGGCAAAGGTCTAAAGATAGTCCATTTACAGTTACTTCAATTCATACATACCCACAGTGAGCGGTTTTCAAATAGACATGGAATAAATGAATTCCTACCTTCCTCCTAAGTTTTATTTGACCTTTAAAACAAAAACACAGGACTAGGTGTAGCTCAGTGGCAGAGCTACTAAGAGGATGTGATTAGAATGTGAGGCCTTGGGTTCAATTCCCAGCACCACTCTCATTCTAGGAAAAAGAGGAATGTCTTCCTTAACTAAACTTTTAATATCTCGTGCCTAAACTGCTGTTTGAGAAAAAAACAGAACAAACAAACAAACAAAAACCAGCAGTTATGATTCAGGTGGAAGTGAACAAAGAAGAAAATCATGGCTAAATTCTCAAACTACTAAATTTAGCTCAACTGCAGATTAGCCATACCTAAATAACTAAATTTAGATCTATAAGGTTGTAAAGGTATCATACCTTTAGATTTATTACATGAAGTAGTTCTATCATAACTTTTAAGTAAAATTTAGACAAAATTTCTATTTACAGCTGAAAACATCCTAATATGGTAAGGGAGCCAGGAAGGAATTTCAACAAGTTTCTGAAAATGGATGCATAGCTGATAAAGGCAGAAGCCTTCATAAGAAAGATATCAAATTGCTCTATAGAACCCCCAAAGACCAAAAACAGATTACAAAAGGGCTCATATATAATGCAGGGCTAAAAATAGGAGAATTAATCTCTATATAGAAGCGCTGAGAGCCATTATCAACTAGAGTAATTCAATAAGACAAACTGTTTTAAAAGCTATGCATTTTTCTCTTGAAGCAAAAACCTAACAGCTAAACTACAAAACAATAAACAAACCAGTTTGAGGAAATTTATATAGCTAATAATATTATAGATTATTGCTGGTTTCGCAGAACAATTACTGAGAAATTTATGTTACTCACAGGACCAGGCAGTTTATGACCTGCTAATTCCAAAATAATACTCTAAGTCCTTGGGGAGTAGGGTGGGGGGACACGACTCAATAGCTTTTGATTTACTAGTTATTTGTTATCAAATATAAGCAGACAATAGTTTGTCATGAAAGACTATGATAACTAAAAAATAACTCCTAGAATAAAGAGTCAGAGCTAAAGTAAATGAAGAGGGTGTTATGTTATATCCAGGAAAACTGATGGAATAAACAAATACATTAAGGACAGTAGAAGCCATGTTTTTTAAGCTTTTCTAAGACAGAGAAGAGGGTTACGAACATATAAAAGGAAAAAGCCAGATTCAATCTTGTGATATTGAACTGTAAGAAATTATCAGTGTGAATCTATAGTTTCAATACACAAACAGATATAAACGTCTATATGCATATATGTTTATATAAATATATATATATACACCCACACATATATACACACACATTATACATATATATATACACACACACATATATACATATATAGATATATATACACATATACACACATATTCATTCACAGAACACACACACTACTTCTGTCCATTAAATTGACCTTAAATCAGTGACACTCCAGTGGCAATGAGCAAACCTAATGCAAAGATTTAATAAATATCACTTTCTACAAAAAGCAATCAGGAATCTGGGGAAAAATGACCCATTCCAGAGGTAGGCAGGAAAGTACAAGATAAGCCTGGAACATTGTGTTGTGCCAGAAAAGCAAGGAAGTTCTCTAACAAATGAAGTGCTATCACACAGATACAGAAAAGTGATATCAAAAGGGTGCCTCCTGTTTAAATTAGAACAGTTTGAGCATCAAAATAATGAAATTAACAGAATACATCCTGCTCAATAAAATAAGCCTGTACAGATTATAAATCAACATTTTTTTTTTTCATGGTGCTGGGGATTCAACCCAGGGGTACTCTACCATTGAGCTATATCCCCAGACCTTTTTATTTTACTTTATTTAATTTTATTCTTTTTTTTCCCCCCAGACAGGGTGTCACTAAATTATCTAGGCTGACCCTAAATTTGTGATTCACCTGGTCTCAGCTTCCTGAGTAGTTGGAATTACAAGCATGCACCACCATGGACCAGCTTTAATTTCTTAAATCTTATGGTTGTGTTGTGATTATGTGGAAGAAGGTAATGGTTTGTAAGAAATACACAGTAAAGCATTCAGGTGAAAGATATCAGAAAAAAAAAATTCCTTATCCTATATATCTGACTTTTCCACAACTCAGTGATTATTTCAATATTTGAAAAATTCAAAACATATGCAACGAATTTATATCTTTAAATTTATGTACTTAAGCATATAAAGTAATGAAATGATATGAAAAAAGAAATGAAATTATATGAAAAACAATAAAAAGGCTTTGATTATCTTTCAAATTAAATTTTAAAGGAGACAAATCCAAAAAAACATTCCCAAAAGGGTAAAACAAAGAGACAAAGAAAATACGAAAACAAAAACTCAGGTGATCAATCCAACATCCAATTAAAAGTTCAAGGAGAGAAGAAACTGAAGAATTAATAAAATAAATAAGAAAATAATACAAAGCTAACTGAAACAAATCTTCAAACAGGACTGTGAGAGTTCAGTACAATGAACAAATAAAGATTTGCCTGTATGTAAAAATCAATAAGAATAAAAAGATCCTAGAAAACTCTAAGAGGAAATAAAAAGTTCATCCACAAAGAACTGAGAATCAAGTTAGAAAACTTGTCATTAGCAAGTTTTCTAGAAAAAAAATTTCTAGAAAAAAATCATTGAAGTGCTGAAAAAAAAACATTCATTCCCTATTCTGCCAAACTAGCAAGCAAGCATAACATTTTCACACAGGCAAATAAAAAGAAAATTAACTCCCACATATGAAATTACAAAATATTATCCAGGAAAATAAAAATATGAAAGAAACAGTAAGACACAAAATCCAAGAAACAGTGGAGCCAAAGAGTAAGAAAATAAGTGCTAAACAGCAATTGTGCATCAAAAAATCCACCCAGACTGAAATGAGGCAGAAAGTACTAGGAAGAATCTGGAAGTCAAGAGGAATGGAGGATAGACTATGAAACAGTACTATCTTACAAACTCAAAGAGACAAATAAGTCAGATAGGAGGTAAACACTAAAGTTTACTGAAATTTTCTGGAAAGGCAAAAAGTTATACAATGTTGAATACATTAATCATCATACACTACTTGGCTACAGAGTAAAAAATATCTACATGGCCCTAATAATGTAGAAACTAATTATTTTAACTTTGATAATCAAATTATTTTATAACAAAACAAATGAACTTATAGTTGCAGATAAAAATGTAAATGTTAACATCCTAGATATTAAAAAGGACACAATCCTTTAAAGAGACTGAAAGATCAAAGTTGGTAAAGAGAAGAATAGAGGTATCAATATCTTCATAATAAAAGTGCAAATCCACAAATATAATATTATTTGCTGGAGAAGAAATAAAGTGTATCTCTTGGTAAGGTATCCAATAAGAAACTGGAACTGTCATAAGATACAAGGAGGAAAAGATATGAGTATAAATGTTAGGGTTTAGCAATGAGGCATCCTCTAAAAGTTCATGTGTGAGACAATGCAAGAATACTTTAGGTGAAATAACTGAGAGTCTTAATCAATGGATTGATACACTGATATGGGTTAACTGGGCAATAAATGTAGGTAGGGAGGGTGTGGCTGGAAGAAGTAGATCATTGGGGGCGTGCCTTTATGGTTTATATTTTGTTCCTGGTGAGAGGAGCTCTCTCTTTG